AAGGTGCAGGCTTCTGCACAGGAATGGAGACGGTGGCCTGGACAGTGCCCTCCTCCAGTTAGAACAGAACGAAGATTCTTCTCCAGGGTATGCTGGACCTTTTAGAATGAAGTCTCATCTCCCGCCTGGTACTCGCCCACATCAAGAAGCTCTAAAAAAAATAGGTGTTCTTTGTCATGGAGGTCACCAAGAACACAGAAGTGTGGTGATATTTTGTTTGTGATCTAACAAATAAAGCTCACCTGAAGATCAGAGTGTAGAGCTAAGCCACTAGTTAGCCACAGAAGCCAGGCAGGGGTGGCACACATCTTTAATCCCAGCACTTGGGATCTCACACACGCCTTGAAGCTCAGCACTAGGGAGGCTGAGACAGGAAGCTACATGGCTGGGCGGAGAAAGGACTATAAGGTAGGAGTAGAAAGGAGCTCGGTCCTTTTCAGGCTGAGGATTCCATAGAGGTAAGAAGTGGCTGTGGCTTGCTCCTCTGTCTCTCTGATCTTTCAGCATTTACCCCGATATCTGGCTCTAGGTTTTTATTAAGATCAATTAGGATTCGTGCTACACAGAAGAAAGAGAAACAGGAAATTTGAGCTAATGGGAAAAAATACACAAGAAAGACCTGGATAATTGGAACTCCATGTTTAAGCTCTAGACAAGACAAAAGGACATTATGTTTCATGGTTATTTACTTTCTGTATGATAAACAGGAATATCCTACCTATGATAATTTGTTTCAAATAGTTACCTACTGTGTGATATACAGGAATATTCTGTGATTCTCAACCTTGGAGTACAAGCTTATGTTAAAATGAACAAGCACCATGAAACCACAAATAAAATGGTACTTACATTCATCCATGTGCCCTCCAGTTCTTGTCCATACATCCCTATCACTTTGCACAGTTATGGCTACTATATATATGTGTGTGTGTGTGTGTGCATGTGTATATATACATATATATACATACATACATAAATACACAATTTTGCAGCCTGCACCTTAGTAAGTTTTTGCTAGCTATATTCTTTCATATTAATAAGCAAACATCAAAACTTAAATTTTTATCAAATTCATGGCATTCCACTACAGATCCATCAGAATTTACTTAACCAGAAGTATTTGTTGAGCCTTAGGCCTGCAATCCCAGCTACTTGAGAGAATAAGGCAGGAGGATCACTAGTTCAAGGCCTGCCTGGGCTACAGAGTAAGTTCCAAGACCAGTGTGGACAACTTGTTTTGACTGTTTCAAAATAAAAAAGTAAAAAGAAGGCTGTAGAGTGACTGCCTAGCATGCACAGGGCCCTAGGTTCAATTACTAATATTGAAAAGAAATTATACCTGTTGAATAAATGAACCATTTTTCTAATGCTGGACACTTTGTTCTAATTGTTTATTTTTACAAGTAACACTGTGATGGATACCTAGAACATGGGTCATTTTTCTCCTTTTCTTGGGACAATCTGTTTCTTAGAACACATTTCCCCAAACAGGATTATAAGATTGACTTCTGCCATGTACTGCCACCATTTACAAGTTAATGTCACTCAAATAAGGTGGCTACCTTAGCATCAGATTTTCATTTTGTTTTTCTTAGTTTTAAGGGTAAAGATGAACTAGGTTAACGTTTCAATTGTTTGTCTTTAAATACCACTAATCCTAGATATGTTCTCATGTACATACTTACTCTGTGATGTAATGTGAACAGCTTTTACCAATCTACCTCCTGAAGAGTTCGTTCAGCCAGTAGTTCTGGAACATCTACCTCATGCCAGGGCTATGCAGACCTTCTCACTACTTGCATGACTTCTGTACATAATACAGAAATTATCTTTTTCTGTATGCAGACAATTTTCTGGGCATGACTTCCTTTTTGTTATAATTGTACTTTTTCACAGCTGAGTTGGAGATATGTGAATCTTTTGGTCTATCTTCTGACTTTTCTATCTTGTTACAGCTTACATGGTGATTTCACACCTAGGGATTTGATAGTCTATTTCCTGTGGTCTTTGTTCAAAGTATTCTAAGAGCCACATAAATATGTTCTCTGGTAATTAAAGTTCTTATCCATAATTCCTAATTCTTCTGCTCTAACATAATAACATTTTTACTAGAAGCATATAATTTAGAATAAGAACTTACATGAGTTTTCTTTATCCACCACATGTGGTATGTTGTATTAAAATGAGTTGTGTTTTTAAGCTACCTTGTTGCAATCAGAAGGGACCTCAGATGTATCTGAGAAAGACTGACCCCAAGCAAGCCTTCCCCAAGCAAGCCTTTGTAAGAGGATACTGCTCTCTCTAAAGCCAAAGGAAAAAAAACAATGGATCTGCATGAGGCTTTTCATCTTTAGGCTGCTTTAGAGTAAAACCCTTTTGTGACTCAGAGCAGTGGAGGCCCAGACAAGTAGCAGTGTGACAAGCAGGATCTCCAGTCCTATGTCACAGTGTGCACATTCAAATTTGAGAAGCACTGAGGGAGACCACAGGAATCTTCCAGAATAAGATTTTTTTTAAAAAAATCACTCATATGTTTTGATGCTCCTCTTAATTATGTACCACCAGAAAGTATCCCTTCCCTATCAGGGTTCACCTGCTACCCTTTTAAAGCACCCCCTTAAAAATAAACATGGATGGCTCAGGCCAGAAAAATAAGCAAAGTGATCTTCTGTAGGAAAGGACAATCTGAACTTTGCACCCACAATGTTATCTTGAACTGAAGTTGAAAAGCCCAGTGCCTATGTGAGCACAGTGTTCTAGTATGGTAATAGGCTCCCACCCTGTGTCAAGAAGACTACAGAGAGAGCTGGAGGCTGTGGCAAGCCTTGCAGCCTTGCTCTCCCTAAAGGAACAGCAGCAATTTGGCTTCAGCCTAGTGTAGCCAAATGGGAACGTAGGCTTGGTGGTGCCAAAACTTCAGATATTTCAAGAGACAGAAATGTGGATGTTTAAAAGTGTGAAATCTCTCGAGTTTTCAAGGCTGGCAACTCACATGCATTTTAAAAGAACACCTCTGCATGCCAGATCCAGCCTACCAGCTTGAGACCATGGTTCTAGATGGAAGAGTTCTGAACTCTTTAAGCCTGTGTAATCCATCTGTGCTGATTTGTATGCTGACGATGTGAGAGGGATCACATCAAATCAATGGCACACATCAAATCACTATGACTACTGTCTTTGAAAATTTAGTTTGGTGAATATTTAAAAACAAACCCTGCCAAATCAATAATGAAAATAACCATACGGCAGTTATACAAATATTTCTTAAACGTGAAACGTATCCAATTCATTAACAATATTATCATCTCTACAGTACAAATTAAGAGTACTCATGTTTAGCCCCGCTCCTGTGTCTGCTAACAATTACGTTGTAAGGGCTGGAGAGATGGCTTAGTGGCTGCTCTTCTAGAGGACCCAGGTTTGATTAGCACCCACATGGCAGCTCACAGGGTATTGTGAATCCAGTTATAGGGAATCCAGCAACCTCTTCTGGTCTCCGCAGGGACTGCACAGACATATATGCAGGCAAAACACCCATACACATAAAGTAAGCCTTTAGAATTTTCTATAAAAGAATTATGTTGCGTTCAACTATATTCCAAATAATTTTGTAAACTGAAGGCAGCCAAATGGAATAATGTCAAGTCCTTGAATTGTAAACTTTGTGGAAGATAAATGCTGTATAAAGCTTTAAAAGGGATACATCATTTTAAAAACTTAACCATCCTCCTGTGGAAATTGCAAACTCCATTTCCTTCAAAGGTTTAATTTGCCCAAAAAAAATGTTTAGAAGTAGGGTGTGAAAGGCAGTTTCCATTTGGACCTAGGCACAGCTGGATCTGCAGCCAGCATCATGCACTTTCTCGCTCGTACCTTCTTATTACGGAGGTAGTGGGAATTGCAGGCGTCAAGGATCAGAGTGGAAGCAGGACCTGGATGACCTTTTCAATATTATTAGCAAGGTGGTATTTTACAAAGCGATTTTCAGTCTCCTTTACCTGGTAAAGGGAAAATAATCTAGGTTTGCCCTACACCACACTGGATCTAAAGTGCTTGGCTTTTGCCACAACACTCCTGCCTTGGCACACAATGGGGCTCAGCAGGTTAAAGGAAGACTCAACACAAGATTCAGGGGTGTAACCCTGTGTATTTCTGTAGTGATTAAAAAGAATTGAGGGGGGAAAAGCAATTTTGCAGGTTTACCTAGGTAGAGATGATGGCAGAGCAACCTTTTCATGTATGAAACTGGAAATCTCAACAGGTATAGTGCTCGCAAATATGTCTCTCATTAGTACAGAGACGGGGACAAGAGGAAGCAGTCACTTCTGCATTGTACCTGGAGTAGATCTCTCTCAGATGTCCCTCCTGTTCTTTTCAAAGATGGGTGTCCCTTCTCTCAAGAAATAAGGAAGCCTGGATTACCACAGAGTATAAATCAGCCACAGGCTAAAGGAAGCAAAGGCTCTCTAGCCAATGTGTGTGGTAAATGAAAGGTCCAAACAGTGTGGCTACATACACCAATGGCTGCTTCTGAACTGGAGGGCAAACTAGAAAAAGCATGCTGCCTCACGTTATGGCGACCTAGCGGAAACGCTCCTGGGTGGTGTTACCACCCGGTTTTTACCGACTTGACTCCTTCCACCCAGGACACAGTGTTCCAGTCACCATCAGTTGTCCTTTCGCTCATCCCAGGGTTTGCTCCATGCAGCTTTCCTGCTCCCTACTGTTCACACTGCAACATGAGCTGCTCTTTCTTTCCAAGCCAACCTTCTGAAGGTCTGTGGCGCCTGCCACATTCACTTCTATGCTCTCAAACTCAAAGCAAATGAGGCTTGTGCTTGAAAAGGCATTCCCCAGAGAGCTAATGTTTAGGGTAATATCGGTTGAGCAATTAAAATAAACCTTCTTAAACTTCTCAAACAAATAAAGCTCTTGGATAATGCCACAAATTGGAAAGTTAGAGATCAGCATAAGAATCTGTAGCAATTAGTAGCTCTTACCTCACACAGGATGTGTTCCCGAAGGGCTGGACACAGCTAAGAACAGCTACCGGTTGCCTAAATTGGAAAAAAAAAATTAGCAAAATTACCTTTTTAGAATAAAAGTCAGAAATAAAAAAAAATCATCTTCCTTTGAAGACTCATGGCAACACATTCTCCTTTGTATTTATAACCCAAAAAGTTAACGGAAGACAGCCAGGATGGTCTGTACATTTCTGCGAATGTCTGTTTATCACATAACGTTAGCCCTGGCAGTGGCTCCCGCTCCCTCATTATCAAGCTGTATTAGCTCAAACTCTCAGCATTGTTAGGTGGGTGAGCTCATGGCCTATTTCAGTTTTAAATTAACACTTGGCAATCACCCGGGTAATCAAAACAAATGATTCAGTCATTTAGAAGAGATTTATTAGTTGAGCCTTTTTTCCTTTCTCTTTTAACATCTTTAGAATATTTTGCCACAGGAGGGCTCTGATCCAGTCAGAATATAGAGCACAAGTCACCAGAGGAATATTTAGGTGTTGCCATGGAGATGAGGTACCCTGTGACCATTGAAGTTATCTCCCATCAACAACAGGATTAGGATGCAGGCTAGTTTGCAGGATCTTCCCAATGTGAATGGTGCTGTGGGACTAGGAAACAGGTGTCCCCTGGCTGCTGCTACCCATGACACAAACGCACAACACAATGTCCTCCTGACATACAGCTGCCCCACAAACCCACACACATCCCCATCTTGTACCTTCTATCACTTGTCCAGGGAACCTGGTGAATGACCGCTCCCTGAGCAGGATCCTGTCTGGGTTTTGTTTATTAGAGAAAGGATCTCACTGTGTGATCCATACTAGCCTCAAATTCAGGATCCCCCTGCTTCCACCTCCCCCACTGCTGGCATCACAGGTATGTGTCACCACAATCAGCTGCCAACTGCTTTGTTCCCACACCCAGAACAGGCTCTCAGGAAGTTTCAATGGGACAAACATAAACCAAGTATTGCTATCAGATCTGAAATCCCTCCTGGCTGATTATCCAACAGGCAGTGACGACACATTTCATTTGTTGCGGGTGCCAGACAAGAGCTGGTGCAGTGAGTTCTATATGCTGATAGAGATCTCTATAGCTTTGCCTGTTTTTGAGATCTTAATGACGACTGTCATAGTTAAGGACAACTATTCTAAAGTCCAAATGAACACACTGTTAACTGACAGACAGGGTTCTTGCTGGCCAAGTCAAAAGCATGGTCAATCTGTGTCAGTGGTAAAGAGCTAACATTCAAAGAGAGTTGTTTAGAAGTGAACTCGGGCCAGGCAGTGGTGGTGCACACCTTTGATTCCATCACTCAAGGCAGATTCAGGCAGGTGGATCTCTGAGTTTGAGACCAGCCTGCCTGGTCTACAGAGAGTGTTCCAGGACAGCCAAGGCTACACAGAAAAACCCTGTCTTGAAAAAGAAAACAACAACAACAAAAATAATGAACTCAGAAGACTACCTTTTACTCCTCTTCCCACCTACACAAGAGAAAATATTGTTATTTATTTCATGTTACATTTTTGTTTTAATATTTTATGATGGCAGATACAAAAACCTTTCTTTCCTACTTCTAGCTAGGCTGCATGGCATGTCTATACAAAAATCGCATCTGTCACCCACACTCCACTCATGAAACTTGCTGTTTCTAGAAGGCGCCACACCCTTTCATGCAGCTGTGAAAGAATACAGCGTACCACAGCTGTTTACAGACAGCTGCCAGACTTGGACAGGCTGAGGTGAAGCACTGGCTCTATCTTACATTAGCCGCCCAACCTTTCTGAATTTCCCAATGGAAACCTCACAAAGGCAAACAGTCAAACGAGTATGAATATTAGATACACAGCCATCACTTCTTAGCGCAGACAAGCACTTAAGACACGATCAACTTGGGGAACAATTTGTTATGTTCCTACAAATACTTCACACCAAATGTATTCTTCTTTTAGACCCAACCCACCTTTAATTTCAAACTTGAACTCCTCACACTCTAGTTTCAATATCCTATTTCATCTTACCCTTCCAGAACGGATTATTCCTGGAGATAGATGCAATTTATATTGGGTTTTACTAAAAAGGAATCTGGTTCTCTACTTAAAAGAGTCAGCTTCCTTCCTAAGATCTTGGCCCTACAAATGCCTTCTTGCTACCTATACAATTTCTTGCTGGGTAGGGAGGTACTACCAGTCAGATGATGCTGAAAATCTTCTATATTAACCACACCAGGATACTGGCTATCCATTCCAGGAAGTCCTTGCATCTCATGTTGCCTGGCACCCTCCAGAGGGCAGAAGAGAGAAAGAGTTGGACTGAGGAGGCAAAGCTCATACACTGGGGTTCCACTGAGCCTGATGGAGCGGTCTTCTATTCCCTAACTGAGAGTTTCCATCAGTAACACGGAGAAAACTTACAGTGAGACCTGGACTGCATCTGCATCTTCCCTCCCTTTCTTCTCTGTACTAGTTCCACTTACCACTAGTTGGGGTTATGAGACTAAAGACACAGTAGGCATTATATGTGTACACTTCTCACTATATAGAACAGAACCATGGCTTTGATCAGACTTAATGCAAAACAAAGACGAAAAGCAGAACAGCAAATTAATCTTAAACAAACCTGAAATACTGTAGAGTCAGTTACACTTGCAAATAAATCCTGCCAATCTTACCCTAGTCTGACAAATTAGTAAGTCAAATTACAAATGCCATTTTGTTATTCTGGAATAAGCAGACATTTCTTTCATCTTTGAGGCATTTAAGACACTTTAGGTTTAATGAAAATATTCTGGTCATAGACACTGATGACCCTATCATAACTTTCAGCGAAGCTTAAAGGATCCCCAAGTTGCTAATAAATTGAGTGAATTATGTGAAAAAACAAAATGCAGAGACAACAGCTGTTTAAATGAACTTAAATGACCAGTTGAATCAATCAAAATGGATGATCTCCATGTATTCATTGTTTCCTTTCAGATGCGTTGGATGTGATTGTCATGGCAACCATCCCTTAATCATGTTCTTCAGGATACTATGTTCCACCTAAGAAATCAAAGAGGGGTGAACTCTAAGTATCCCCTTAATTAGAGACACTTGTGATGGTAACCAATAGGCTCGGACTTCCCATATATCCTACTGTTACTTATTTTCCCTACTTGTATTAATACGTGAGTCTGAAACACTAGTATGTGTGCCATTCAAAACATATTTTTGATGTTACCATAAAATGCAACAATAAATCTAGCTGAAATGTCTGCTGGCTCCTTTCCTCTAGAAGAACTGAAAATAATTTACTGAGATAAATGGTTCAATAAAAGATGCCTTATTTTAATAATTTCAACATAAGACCTGTAACATAACTAGCTATTCAGTAATACATTAGTTTAATAAAAGAAAAAATTTACAGTATATTTTCAATCATATAAATGTTAACACTGTCTAAGTTTTATTATTAAAATAAGATTAAGTATATAGTATATCTGATAATATACTCTTGTACTCTGGAAAATCATTTATTACATACAAGTTTTTACATTTATTTAGTTTTAGAAAAAATTTAGTTTTTTCACAAATTTGCATACCATCATCATGGATGGCCATGCTAATCTCCTCTGTACTATCTCCATTTTACTACACATGCCATCTACTTGAGCATTTGTTTTTGTTTGGGGATGTGAGGAGGTACACTCACTTGTGAGTGTGTACATGGAAGTTAATACTTGGTGCCTTCCTTGGTCACTCTCTGCTTTTAACACAGTCTCTCACTGAACTCAGAGCTCACCAACTGGCTAGAGTAGCTAGTTAGTAACTCCCCAAATCCTCCTGTCTCCATTCTCCATAGCACTGGGATTATTACAGACATGCAGCCTTGCATAGATTTTTTTTTTTTACACAGGTTCTGGAGATCTGAACTCAGGTCATCATGCTAGTGTGGCAAGAACTTTATCCACTGAGCCATCTCCTCAATCCCTCTACATTTATTTAAGTACTCATAGCTTCTTCACAATTTGGAGATAAGCGTCATCATTATACAGTTTGGGGAAAGATCCGTTCTCTTCTTTAAAGGCATCTGTTGTATGTGCTACACATTTAAAGTTGCAATCAGTCCAGATTTTTCTACAGATTTCATTTCATTCAAAAACTACAAAATGCACAGATTTCCCAAAGTTAGAGCAATGAGCCATTTTAAAACTTTGCATTGGAATAGATGCGAACATGTTTTGATAGGTACAGATACTAAGCTGTGTCTTTCCTCTAAACCCGCAAAAGGTGGAAGGAAGACTGAAAAGTACATCTCGCCATTCCTAATTCCAAGGCTAAGGACAAGCTCTTTCTATGACCATTGCTTGATACAAGTCAGGGACCTTTGGCCAAAAGGGAGAAGAAGAATATATATTTGTCTACTTTTATTGAAATGTTAAAATATTTATAATATTTACAAATTTCAAGAGCCATTTAAAATAGGTGTGAAACCAGACCTATTAGGCACTCAGAAAAAATGCACACAAAAGCATGAGTCAAATAGTGAAATCCAGAAAGGAAAATGGAGCAACAAATATTTGCTACAGTCAAAGGTAAGCCCTTCACATTCTTGTCCTTTGCCCTAATGTTCGATAGTATTTTTGTTGTGTTTTAAAAATAAGAAGATTGATGTTCTTTCAATGACCATTACAGTGGCTCCCAAATAAAACAAATGAGAAAATAAAAATTCACTTAATTGACTGAGAGGCTTGAATTAGTCATTGCCAAGTTTACAACTTTCCCACAACTCCAAGCATTCTTTCATATTAAAAAGAAAACAGCATTTTTCCCTTCTGACATGATGACCATGGGTAGCTTTTTAGGCAAGTATAACTTCTATTTTTGTCTAACTCTCTGTAGACCACTCCCCAACCTAGAGCTAAATGGAAGGCGTGAAGGACAGGACTGTATAGAGCCCATATGACAATTCTGACAGCCGCACGAGAGTACCACAGTTACTCTAAGATTGTCAGCCCCATGACCACCCCTAAACCCTGCCATTCTTCATGAACAAAC